AGAGAGAGAGAGAGAGAGAGAGAGAGAGAGAGAGAGAGAGAGAGGTATCAGAGCTCCAGAGTGACTTCCATGGGCATAGAGGAAGGCAGTCCTTGAAGAGACCCGGAGCTTGCCAAGCTGTTGGGTCCGGGAGCAGCTTAGAGGGCATGCTTACTCAGCAGGAAGCCTCAGTTCTCGGGTCTGGCCCTGGCTGCCCTTTTGCCTTGGAGACCATGGCTTGAAGAGGCTGCCGGCTTCATGGGGTTGGGTGGGTGGGGGCTCAGAGCAGCCACCCACAGCCTTTGCTGGCTTGTCGTCAGGACCAGACAGATAGCTTTACTCTCGCTCCTGGTCATGTCTACGAGTCACCCCCTCCGTTTCTCAGTCCTGGGCTTTCGGCATCCCTTGTGCTGGGGAGGTCCCGAGTGCATGTTAAGAACACAAGTTACAGTATTCTCAAGTACTCCCCATGTGTGTGTACTGTGTCTGGGCTTCCCAGCAGGCATCCACAGGGCTGGCTGTCACCAGCCACAGGATGAAGTCCTCCAGCAGCTGGGGCTGCACAGCCAGGCTCTCTGGACGGAGTCAGTGTTCTGTTCGCAAACACTGGGCACGGGGTGAATACTGGCTCGCTTCGTTTCCAGCTGCTGCTACTAAATTGATTGCAACCGGACTCCATCTAGGGTCAGAGGCCATGCTACTCATCAGGGTGATGCTGCTGGAAGAAATGGCAAATTTAGGAGGCAACGGAGAGCCTCTAGCAATGTTAGCAAACCCCCACCCTTCACGCTTGCCCTCCCCCACTGTGGGATCTGTGGACCAAGTGAAGGGGTCAGCAGGACCCCTTCCCTCTCCCCACCCCGAGTCTGTCTCTGTTCATTGATTTAGTCCCCTTCTTCCTTCTCTTCTGTGTCTTGGGGATGGGGGGGCAGGACACACAGCTCAGCTTGCAAGCAGGTTGACACAAGCCCTACTTTCCCCAGAGACAGCCATCTCCAGGCCCCTGGAGAGGCCTCAGCTGACTGCTTCCTCTTTGGGAGCCTAAATTCTCCTAGCTGGGGTCACTTGGGGCACAGTTGCCCCTACTACCCAGCCTCGTTTGCTCCAGTGTTGTCTCTGACCCTGACAAAAGCAAGATGTTTGACAGACATTGCCTTGAGCATTGTACATTGGGGGGTGGGGGGTTGGGAAGCAAGGACACCTGGAGCTTTCGGTTGAAGCCTGGGTCCTCACTGACGCCATGAACTCCAAGTACCATGGCCATGGGCCTCCAGAGCCGGGGCCTCCTCTCTGGGGTTTGTGTGGGAGTCACGTGCTTTTAACACAGAGCTTCCAGGTTTCTTCAAAGGGTTACAAGTCAGTAGAGACCAAATTGATGTAAAGATTAGCTCAGAAAGCCAAATATATCCTTGATCTAGATTTCTGCGTTTGAAGTCTGGCTGGAGAGGGTTTTGGCTGCCTCCTGCCTGGCAGACCGAGGGGGAGGCAGGGAGGGGTTTGTGCAGCCAGAGTAGAGATATGCAGACCCTGGCTCCTTCCTCCTCCGAGACCCCTTCCAGGAATTCAAAGGGACTTGTGACTCACGAGGCACGAGTGGGGAATGGCGGTTACATAACTCAGATTAACTCAGCTAAGCTGCCTGGAACAGTAAGTCAGGCCAGAGTGTGCCCCCCTCAGAGCCCAGGGACCCCCGGGAGCCATCGGGTCTTTTGACGTCCTTCTGTGTGAGGGATACAATCAGACAAGGCGTGGTTGGGGGCTGGCAGCTAGGGACTCTCATCGGGGTAGCAGCCTGTGCCCCATAAGTGTCATCCAGAGTGTGAGGTGCTTCTCCAGGGCAGGTCCTAAGGCCTCATTTGGACCCAAGCTGAGGACGGTCCCCCACTGCTACTGGGGCAGTGTAGCAGCTGCTGAATACGGGTGGATGGCCTGAGTTAACTGGGACAGGTGGGCACAGGGAGGTGGTCGGAGGGCTGTGCTGGCCTTTCACCTCTTTCTTTGTGAAAAGCCTCAAGGATGGGGACCCACTATGGGCCTACAGGGTCCCCAGGGGGTGGAAGGCAGCATCTGAAACCCGGTGTTTGCAGTTTGCAAGGGTGAGATCTCTCGTGCAATTCCTCCCCGCTTCTCCCCCTTCCTGGGTCCAGGACTGGGGGAGGGAGGGACACTTGTCTGTAGCTGGTAGAAGGATCTTTATCTCTAACCTTCTCTGCAAAGGTTGGGGCTCAGAGCTGATACTTGCCCGGTCCTCAGTGTCCTGTCAACCCACCCTCCCTGCTCGTCTGTCACAGAGATGTCTGCCCTTTGTAACACTTTCCCTTCAAGACTGACTTGCCAAACAGGGCTGGGGTCTTAGCCTCTGCCTCCGTGCCTTCCAGTTGACAGCCCTGTAGGCCACTGCTTGGACAGCATGGTGTCTGAACTTGGCTACCTACTGTCTCAGGACGTTGCCCCTCCTCCTTAGTCCTGTGGCCCCAGGGGCTGCTGGGAAGGGATGGCCACAGTGGCAAGAGTGTGCACCTGGATGTGGGGACACAGGGTGTATGCCACGAGGCTCATCTGAGCATCCTGGGACGTGCTGGAGAGGGGCGCCCAGGTTCCATGGGCCGACCTTCCCCGTGGGTGGGCCTGAATCT